CAAGTCCTGAAGATGAAGGAAGAATGTTCACTGTGCTGGCCCCTGGAGAATCTCTTCTCTAGTGGGTTTCCACTTGGACTCTATTCATGTTTTGGGTCAGATGATTCTTGTTCTAGGGGCTGTTCCACATTTGTATATTATAGAATGCAAGTACATCCCTAGCCTCTACCCATTAAACAAGTAACCTCTCTGACCTTGAATTAGACAAAAATATCAGCAAACATCCCTTGAGGTCAAAATCATCGCTCTGGTTTAGAAACAATCACCCAGGAGGGACATCAACAAACAATCATACTAAGGCTAGAGAGAGAGCTCAGTTAGTAAAATGCTTGCCATGCAGGAATGAGGACCCGAGTTTGGATCCCAGCACCCGTGTACAAAGTCAGACATGATAGTAAATACCTTTAATCATAGTGTCATGGAAAAGGCAGGAGGATCTCTTAGGCCTTGCTAATCAGTTATTCTTGCTATGTGAGTGGGCTACAGGTTCAGTGAGAGACCTGGTCTCAAAAATTAAGACAAAGAACATTAAAGGAAGACAACTAGCATCAACCTCTGACCTCTACATGCACATAAACACATGTAATAATGCCCTTGTACACACACACACACACAAATGAATAAATAACCACACCATATACCACTAAGAGGCCAAGCACACTAGCCCAGCATATGTCATGTGAATGGGGAGGAAGACATACTTGATCCCTAGATGGCAACCTGTAGATGCTGGCATGAAGTACACAGATGGGGCCCCTTCCACACCCTCAAGTACCCACTCATCATCCACTCCCGCCATGGACTCTACAGAGGACAGAGATGAGCTTGAGTATCAGAGGCAGATGCTGACAGAAGTAGGCATACCCACTGTAGCAAAGTGCAGAGGGTGTAGATTTCTACAGTGGCTTCTCTGCATGGCATTTGGAGCTCCATCAACCTCAACAGGAAACAAAGGCTATGTGGTAAGACACCTCAGGAAAGAAGAGAAAGCTGCCTCAGCACCATTGCTTCACAACAGGTCTACAGCTGACGTATGAATATGCCCCCTCCTAAGAGGTGCCCAGCACCCCCAACGGTCAACCTCCATGTGATTTAAAGATAACTTTCAGGATTTTTAGGAACAGGAGTGACCAAAGTATGATTCGTACAGAAAAAAAAAGGGGGACATGCAAATGATTAGAAGGAGATAATTGTAAAACTTTCTACAGCTAGTTTTGAAGACTCTTCAAATTGTGACGCCGGTCTCACCATGCAATAAAATTTGAAAAAATCCTTGGAGAATCTATAAGTAGAACAGGGCTCACAGGTAAGGCCGGAATACACTAGAGTATGAGCCAGTTCCCCTACCCAGCTGCAGGTTCTTTCCATGCTGTGCTCTAACCCCATGTTTTCCCTGTCTGGCTATCCTCAGCACTATGGAGATAGCCCTGGAAGATCTGCAACCTCTTTTGGTGAAGTCCCGCGCATGCTCAGTGCGATGCTAAGCATGCTGTTGGACTGACTTCTCTGGGCTCGTTTCTCCGCCTGCCCTCTGCCCAGCACTCAGTGGCAGTCAACCAAGTGGAAACTGGAGTGACACCTGCCACTTTCACCCGAGCAGAACATGGAGCTGCTTTACCCTGGTGAGAGTTGCAAACAGCTGCACCCCATTCCTCCGTCTCCAGGGAGAGGTCAGCTCAGGGTGAGTTTTCCAGATGGATAAGATGAGCTGCACATCCTGGAATGTGACCTGAGGACCTGCACCCGCTCCAAGGAGAGAAGTTAAGCCAAGCCCAGCACATTGGCCCAGCGCCCCTGAGGGCTCAGGAGACCCCAAGACTTTCACTTAGCAGCCTTCTGGGTGAGGAACAAGGTCAAATCCAATTACCGCAGGCTGAAGTGCCCCAGTGAGAAGGCTTCAAGCTCTGTTCCATCTGGAATGTCCACAGCTGACAAAGACCTGGCTGCACCTGTGTTTATGTGGCAAGTCTTAGAAAGACAGAAAGAACTGAGTGCATTTATGCATCTAACAGCTTCCTGGAAAGTGGTGAGTCAAAACATGAACCCCAGGCCTCACCCCAGGGCACATAACACACCACAGATCCAAATGAAGGAGCCCCTTGACCCCCACACAGGAACCTTGGAAGACAGAACTGGAACCACCACCTTCTAGAAAGAGCCCCCAGCAAAAGTGTTACAAAGATTCCCTACCATAGCTCTTTAACTAACATTCATTGACCAAAATCCTATTACAGTAAGGCTCCTTTAAACCCGTGTGACAATCATGATCAGGATTCAAGATACCTCTCACTCCACCAGCTCCTCAGAAGAGTCCAGTCAATCCCTTCACCCTCCTGGGACACCGCTTCAGGTCATAGAACTGGAATCACATGGCATATGTACCCTTGCGCCTGCATCCTTTCACTGATTACAGTGCCTTCTGTTTCTAAGTGTGTTTCATTACATGGCTGTGTTAGCCTTCATCATTCCCTGGGATGCTGCGGACCGGTTTCTGTTTGAAGCTGTTCTACATAGAAGTGCTGTAAACATCATCTGCACACAGGTCCATTTCATCTCCCTTGTGTAGATATCCAGAAGTAAGTGTATGACATTACAAGAAATTCCCAAAATCTTTCCCCAAAGTGGCTGTACTATTTTGCCCTCTCCCACATCTCATCAGCTAGTTTATGTGGGCTGGAGGATACTGACTCTTTTAAGTCATCCTAAAGTACATTCAGTATATTTTCATTTCCTTAGTAATTGATGGTGTCAAACATCTCCTCATGGTTCAAAGATTTCTGTTCATAAATTAAGCTTGGGGAGCCTTTGTTTTCTTGTCAAGGGGTGCCATGACGGTTTTTATACGTCCTTGATCCAAGTCTCTTGTCAGATGTGCATTGCACAAATATTTTTCTCCCAATTTGTGGATTGTCTTTTCATCTTTTAGCCCTGCCTTTTTGGGCAGCACTTGTATTTAATTAATAAAATCTACTTTTCCAACCTTTTTCATTTATACTGCATATTTTCATGACTGAAGAAAGCTGTGCCTTGCCCAGAGTCACAACAATTTTCTCTTTCCAGGTGTGTAGCTTTAGGTTTTACATTTAGGGATGATATGTGGTAAGGTGTGTGTGTGTGTGTGTGTGTGTGTGTGTGTGTGTGTGTACATATATACACACTATAAGCCTGCCCTTTGACCAGTCCCACACTGTACTGTGATTACTGTAACATTACAGTCAGTCTTGAAATAAAGCTCTTTATGATTCTGTTTTGTTTTGTTCTTAAGATTGTTGGAGTAATGAGCTAATATTGGTTGTCCACTTGATTGCGTGAAGAAGGAGATTAATAAAGTGAATGTCTTCTGGGAGAGTCTGTGGTGGTTTCCAAAGGGAATTAACCTAGCATAAGGCATTCGTCAAGCTATGGAAGGCACCATCACATAGGCAGGAAGCCAAATGAAACCAAGGGGGAAAGGAGAAAGCCTGAGAGTACACACACTCTTTCCACCCTGAGCTACCTCGGTAAGGAACTTGCCTCCACCACACCCTTTGGCCATGATGGACTGAAGGTGTGAGCCAAAGAAAATCTTTCCTTCCTGTAAATTGTTTCTGTCAGACATCTGGCCACAGTGACAAGGGTCTGATTGATAAAGTTATTCTAGATCTTTGTCTTTACAAAAGAGGTTAGTAATTGATTTTTATAGCTGATTTATACATGAGAGAATATTGGGATTTTAATTTGAGTTATGTTGAATTTTGATCAGTTTGATTTGAGTGCTATGATGATTAATCTTGACTGTCAACTTGATGGGACTTAGAACCACCTAGAAGACTCACCGCTGGACATGTCTGTGAGGGCATTTCCAGAGGCTACCCTGAAGGGAATAGGCTTACCCTTAAGATGGGCAGTATCTTCCAACAAGGGGCCCAGATAGCGTTCCAACGAAAGCAAGTGTGTGTGTGTGTGTGTGTGTGTGTGTGTGTGTGTGTGTGTATGTATGAGTGAGTGTGTCCCTCTTCCCAAATGACAGACACCATGTCTTTGATCCTACCCCAACACCAGACTCCAACAAGTTTATTCATGTCATATTCTGACATGAATATTTCAGTTATGTACTGAAAACATTTAGTTATGTACTGCCTATGGTATAGTTACTATTATGTCATGGTTACTGCCTGGTGTTAGTAGTATTTACAGAGAGAAAGAGAAGAAAACCTGTAAATGAGCAGTTTAATGGAGAAAGTTGTGAGCAAGTCAGACCCTGTGGAGAAGGTGTGCGTAGAACAAGCAGCTGAGATAAGGACTTAGCACTTTTAAAGAGAAACCTCCTACTCTGCACTGGATCAGTGGGAAACATGATTTGAGAACAAAATCCTACCCATCAAAGGTTTCAATTTGTATCAATGTAGACTCATTTGAAAGGAGGGAATTTAAGATGAGAAGGTCATTGAAAAGGTTCTTTTATTGAAAACAACCACCTGGAGAAGCAGAACTTGGAGGTGATATCCATATTGTGCTGGTTTCATAAGTATATGAGATGCAACAGTGAGAGGGGTCAAGGAAGCTTTCACCAAGGTTCTACAATAACTTCTATGTAATGTGATAAGAGCAGGGACAGATTATTTGTAAATAGCTTCTGAGTTGGTTATACCTAGATTGGTTATACCTAGTGAAACCTAGGTTGCGATGGAGATCCCAAGGATATTAGAGACTCCAGAAATGTGGGGTGTTTGCCAAGGAAAGTGGCAGGTAATGAGTGGAGTCAGCTGGGGGTTGGGGAGCTACAATTGCCACAGGCAACAGAATTGAATATGTGGAGTTACCCAAGCCCACACGATGTTATCACAAGCCCCAAATGCTGGACAAAGCTTCAGAGTTTGGTGTTTTCTTTGCTTGGTGTAGGTTGTACTTTCATCTGATCTTTCCTTGTTATCCTCCTGTTTCTGTTTTAGAATACCACTATCTACTCCAGGCTAATTTATATTGGAAGCATGTGATTTTCACTTTTTTTAAAATGGTATGTCTCAGAAGCCAGATCCGTAATTTTGGTTTTTCAACAGGAATTCAGGTTTGGGATACGATCATCTTAGATCTTCATTTTTGTTTTGAAAGGGGCTCTGAGTTAAGAGACTATCTTGGATCTCAGGGAAGACACTGAATTGTTAGACTTTGAGGGTTCTTAGAGATGGGCTAAATGCACTTTGCATTCTGGGATGAGCATGGACTTAAGGTCTAGCGGTAGGATGCTATGGTTTAAGTCTTGTGCGTGAGAACCAGCTTGACAAGGGTGGACTTGAGATGGTTATTTTTGATTGTCAACTCTGGTAGATTTAAAAATGCCTAGGGAATTGTTGAGGCATACTTTTGGATATGCCTATGGAAGGACTGGCTAAGGGGGTAAGTGGCTGGAGTTTGGGACTGAATAAAATGGTAAAAGAAAAGGCCATCTGGATGTCAGCACTCATCTTTCCCTGCCTTATACCCCTGCCTCCATGCCTTCCTTTAGCCTCATTTCTTTCTGTAATGACTGTTCCCACAAACAGTAAGCCAAAATAAATCTTTTCGTTGCTTCATCTGAATATTTTATCATAGTGATGAGGAAAATAATACAGCTATCTTAGTCTTTTGAAAAAAAGGGAAAGGTCACTTTTTCCAGTGAGTTATTATAAAAGAAAATCTAAGTTTTCTCAGACCCACTGTTGTCCATGGTCTTAGCTCTTGGTCAAGTGCTAACTGGGGAGGGGACAGTTTAGGATAGGTCCAATGTGAAGTGACAAGAATATAATCTGTCCTTCACATCTCTGGATAAAGACAGAAAGTAGACACAGGGTTCGAATTTGTCTTGAGAAACACCCTGAGACCTAACCAAAAGGAGAATGGGTTCTCCACAAGTCTTTAAAAAGACTACAGCATTCCGAGGGGTTGCCTGAAATGGAGTGGGAGTTCATTGATGAAGAAGAGAGGAGGAAAGCTAATTCATCAAAGGCAACAACAGAATCAAGGGTGAGAGGACAAAGGAGGCTTGAGAGGAGCTGGACCAGGAAGGAATCCAAAATCCCATGCTAAGGATCCGGATTTCACACCCGAGGCCTGGCAGCCCAAAGAGGTTTCTGAGTAGAAAAGAATGGTTAGATCTGTGATTGAGAAAGATCCCCTTGTTGGGATCTTCCAACAAAAGATCCCTCGGAGACAACTCTGTGAGTGTGGTGATGGCATGCAATGAGCAGGTCTGAATTAGGATGGAAAGGCCTCTGAAAGATAAGGTCATTAACCTGAGAAAAGGCAAGGGAGTGTGGGTGAGGGTGGACAGAAGAGGCACCAGAAGGTACAGCATGAAGAGCATCTGTCAGTCTCTAGACCCATCTCCAAGCCTGTGCTGAGTTCTGCAATGACATACCAACAACATAACCCACCACCCTCAAAACACTAAGTAAAAACACATGACTTGAACACTCCATGAAGATCTGTAGTCTGCCCCTTGGGAATAATATCTTGTAGGAAGGTTATTTAAAAATGCATCCTTCTAAAGATAGCTTAACTTTTAAGATTCTACCATCAGAGCTGAATAATTCTTGGCAACTCTTGTATATAAATCTGGTCAGACCCTTACTGTGAAGTTTGAGAAAGAGACAGATAAAGCAGTTGGCCAGAGCCCTGGTGGCAGAAACAACTATTTCTTGAAAATAGAAAAAAGGGTAGAAAGGCATTTTTTTTATTTTTTTATTTTTACAAAGTTTGGAGAACAACATTCTCCCTGAGCTGACCCCACAAGATCAAATCAGCTCCAAATGGGAGTCACTAGGTATGTGCCAGCACTCGAAATCAAAACCCAATGGCCCCGATGACCCTGTTTCTTGTCTTTTCTTTACTTTTGTATTCCAAGGTGACAATTTCATTTCTTACTTGATGTCAACTGTCCATTCAATAAGCTTTCTGATTCATCTGCCAACTTCAGACTCTGATTCTAATCCAAGTCACACAGAAGAGTACATGACCCCTTCACTCCTTGCCAAGCCATTCAAAACAAAAACAAGAACAGCCTTGAGGTGAGCATTCAGCCATAGGTGTGCATGTTCATCTAAGGGTGGCCACACTGGTCACAGGTACTCCTCACCTCTCTGGGACTGATTATATACAGGGCCTCTAGTTCTTCCTTCTCTGTCCCTGGTCCAAACCAGGAACAGTGTCTGAGCTTGGGTTACTACTGCTGTGATGAAACACCATAACCAAAATCAAGTTGGGGAAGAAAGGGTTTATTTGGCTTATGTTTCCACATTCATAGTCCATTGCTGAAAGAAGTCAGGACAGGAACTCAAACAAGGTGGGAACCTGGAGGCAGAAGCTGATGCAGAGGCCATGAAGAGGTGCTGTTTACCGGCCTGCTCAGCCTTTTTGACCAGCAGCCCAAGGATGGTACCAACCACAATGGGCTGGGCCTTCCCACATCAATAACTAATTTAAAAAATTCCCTACAGCTGGATATTTTGGAGGCATTTTTCTTAATTGAGGTTCCATCCTCTTAGATTACTTTAGCCTCTTTCAAGTTTACCTAAAACTATCCAGAACACCTTGGGAGATGTCAGACCCTTTAAAAGAATTGTCACCTATAACCCCAATGTCTTTTGGCACTGGCCTCAATGACAGCTAAGTTGGCCTTTCTTAGGGTCCAAACAAAGCCAGGCGATGTAAGTCTGTTACAGAGAAGCATCATTGTTTCAGTTTTATCTAAAACTCATGTTCCTGAAGTCTTCCCTGTAACTTTAAGATGGAAAATTTGTTTCCTTTCCTAATTATTTATGGAAGAAAACCAACAAAAACAAACAAACAAAATCATTCTACCCCAGGCTTCTCCCCTGCTGTTATCTTCTGCTTTCGAAACATGAGTATAGTAGCTCATACAAAAATGCCACACCGTCAGTTCATGTGGTTGCTCCTGTGTCAGAGGGTGAGAGCTAAAGGTGAGGTGCCATTTCTAAGCCTGTTTCTTCTTTCATGGTTGCCCCAGGGTATCCACCAGGAGGGAACATGCTACTTCAGGTTGTTATACTGGGTCAGAAAGGAGGAAGAGTGCAATTCTTTCAACCTTACAGAGAAAGAACAAAACGGAACACCCACACACTGGGGAAATTGTTCCCTACTGCGTGGGTGGTGGGGCCCCAAGAGCTGTTATCTGCAAAGGGCACTTCTTGGGGTTACCCAGTTGTCACACTGTGTGGATTCCACCCAAAACCTCAAGCTAAACAATGGGAAATGAGCATCAAAGAGACGATTTTCCACTCTGCAAAAAAAAAAAAAAGACTTGACTTTATACAAATAAATTAAGGCACCATGATAATAAATGGACTGGCAGGTGTTCTTCTTGCTTGATACATTTCTACTATCTGAATATGGCTGCATTATCCTCCACTTCCCCACACCACAGCACCAACTCTATATGGCATATCATGTACAGCCCTGTGCTGCACAAACAGATCTGGAATGATGGATATACAGGAATGGATGCAGAAGTGAAAGTGGGTGGTGTGGTGGTGGGGGGGTGCCTGTGGGTGTGTGCCTGTGGATGTGTGCATGTATGTGTCTCTATGTACATGTAGTCACACACGAATGTGCATGTCTATGTGCTGGGGGGGGCTGTTCTTGACACTGAATGTCGTCCCCTTTTTAATGGGAGAGAGCTAGCCGCTGAAGCACCTCTGTATGCTTTGAAGCCTCAAGTACCTTAGTTACTATGCAGGGTCCCCTCTTGTTCTAGAACAGCTCTATCCCCATCTCTGTCCACAGAGTCTGAGAAGTGCTGCCTGCTACCAAGGTGACATGATTTTATCTCCTCCTCACACTCATCTCCTTAAGACGCCTCCAGTCCGTTGCCCTACAGAGAAGCCATCCCTCCACATTTGCCATCCTGGAACCACATTCACCTTTTCCAGACTCTGTAATCCATCTCCATTCACTACAGATGTCTACTGGGGTTTCCCTCATCATTGTTGCTCTTGGGCTGGCCTTTCAGTGGGAATTGTTGAAAAGGTCTAGGGATGAGCCCCAAACCAAAGTCTTTCTGTTCGAACAAAGAAGACCCAGGAAACTCTCACTCCAGTATTTGGGTTCTGCTGAAATTCTTCTCAGTCACAACTGTGGGTTTCAGAAGAAACCAGAACTGTGAGGACTTGACACAACTCTATTTCAAGTAGTAATGAGAAGGAAACAGTGTGAACATTCTTCAAATCAATTGAATCTAGAATTGCCACACGATTTAGGAATCTAATTCTGATATAAGTTCAAAAGAAGTGCAAGCAAGGATCAGACATTGGTGCACTGTATTTATAACAGCAACATCTATTGCAGCTAAAAGGTAGACACAACCCATGAGTCCATTGATGGATGAATAAATAGGCAGATACATACAACGGAATATTGGCCTTAATGAAGAAGGAATCCTTGGCACATGCTACATCGAATGATGTCTTGACACTATGCTGAGTAAGATAATATAGACATAAAAAAGACAAATGCAATCCGATTCCACTAATACTAGTTACCCAGGGGAGTTGAATTCATCAAAACAGAAAGTAACACATAGCTGCCATAGCTGTGAAGGGGGAGGAATGGGAGAAGGGTTTTATTATTTAATGGGCACACAGTTACAGTTTGATAGAATGAAAAGGTTCAAAAGATAGATAATAGTGTTGAATAAAATCTATTAGGCATGTACTCATGGTCCTATGAACTTCTGGCTCCTGGACAGGTGATGTCAAATGCTTGGTCAGCCTTGTGTGACTACTGGCTTATGTAGTCACCATCTCAGATTGTTAGACCCAAGGTAAGGAGCCTTGGAAACTGCAAACGAGTCTCAGCAGATGTCATTCTTCCTCATCGGCTTCTATTCTTTCTGCTGTAACATCTCCATCTTGCTTATTATTGATTTGCTGGCCAGTTGGTTGATTTTTGCTGCATTTACATAACTTGACAGAACTCTAACACCTTGGAACCAAAACAGAATACAGGAAAGCATATAGGCCACATCCTAGAAACACAGCACAAAAGCCACATTTGCCAGGAAATCTCCTGAGAGCATAGAGGAAGCTGGCAGGGGCAA